TGTGTGTGTGTGTGTGTGTAAATATATATGTATCTATATTACTAAACTTTTAATATGTATGTAGTAAATTTTTGCCAATTTAGTCTAGTCCTTAAAGGTGACACCACAGGACATGTGAAAAGTATAGCAACCACTCAAAAAATCCAAGAGTTGACAAAACCCATTCAAAGGAAACAAAATAAAAGTAATAGTATCTGCATTCAAAAGGAGGGTGCATCCCCACGCAGTCTTGAGGAGAGTTTTATTCTGTAATTAAATGAAGCACTGAAAGATTAATGACAGGCCAAACTCTTTTAATTCTGTTCAGAGAGTCTTGTGTTTTTAGGTTCTGATACAACCTAGCTTTATGATTTAATTGCAAGAACAAAGGAATCGCACACACTCCTTCTCTGTTCACAGAAGACACTCATTGCTTTCTTAAGTGTAAAAACTAGAAACCTTAGTGTGATCAACACAAAAGTCCAGGACTCACTAATGACTACGGCACTTCTTGATGTAGCCCTAAGGACTTAGTATGAGGTGTCATTGGTAACATGTTTCAGATTTCACTTAAACATATTTAGGCATCCCTAAATCAGGAAGGAAAGCAAACTCCGATCAAATGAGACAGAGGGCCTCTGTGATGGGTCAGGAGTGTGGCCCACACTCCTCACTGACTCACCCAGCTGTGACCAACCTACAGCCCTCCTTTCTTTCCTTCTTTCTTTCCTTGCTCTTTTTTTTCAATGAAAAGGAATTGTTTTGAGCCACATATAATAATAATAATATAATATATATGTATATAAGTAATCAAACTTTTTTTCTCATTGAGCTTATTGGTACTTTTTAAGAATACGGTACATTTACATTTATGATTTGGAAGTAATCAAACTTTTTATTTTTGTTTGTTTGTTTTTGGTACCAGGGATAGAACTCAGGACCTTTCACTTGCGAGGCAGGCAGCAGAACCACAAGGCTTAATCCCCAGACCCAAACTTTTTATTTCTTATATTTTTAATTGTGACATTTTTTTAAAGAAGCTGAGCCAGGGCTTTAGTTCAGTGGTTCCACCGCCTGCCTCTCAAATGCAAGGACCTGAGTTGGATCCTTGGTACCAAAAAAAAAAAAGAAGAAGCTGAGCTGCAGATTGGACACCACTGGCAAGCTGTGAATTCATTGTCCATTTCAGTTCCTTGAAAGACAACACTGAGAAAATAGAAAGGCCACACTTAAAACTCAAGAAACTATGTGTGAAAAAACTCTAACTCTGAAGAACCTCATGTCCCCTCGTGTCTCATATACACATCTGGTGCACAGGGCCAGTCCTGTCCCTCGCAGTCAACTTTGAGAAGACCACTCAAGTCAGGAAGCCAAACTCAGCAAGAGGGACTGGAAAGAGTACCTGAGTCCCCTCTACCACTCACTGATATTCTAAATAGGTAAGGATTAATAACAACAGTTGTTGTCCTCTCCCAGTGAAAATGCCCAAAAATGTCCAATCAGGTTTCATCTGACATTAACTGTTTAATCAAACTGACCTTTGAGATTGACTGCTCATTCATTCAACAAATGTGCAGGCACCTAGTGGGTGTCAGGGATGTAGCCAGGAACTGTATGCCTCAGGATGAATAAGGTACGGTCCCTGCTATTACACAGCCCATGCACTAGTGGAGGATGTAGTCAAGAACAGATTTTGCTGGGAAAAGTAAATTTGGAAATAGATATAGTATGAATAAAAATTCTTTGGTGATAAAAAAGAAAGAGGCATGGAAGCCAGTCGCTCTCACTTTGTAACTTGAAGGTCTTTTTCACCCTGCAGATTCTGGCATTAAAAAAGTTCTACTGTATTTGGCAAAAATAAGTGATTGACCCCGGGTGCTTTAGGTTCTGGGAGAAACTTGGAGACCTGAATTGAAGCATAGAAGCCACCAGGTAAATAAGCTTTCTTCGAGTACTGTGATAACAGAAGAATATCTGTAAGTCTCAGCTCTTGACAGAAGTCATCACATCAGTGGAGACCACATCACATTTTCATATGGACCCCTGGATTTTCCTATATTCTCCAATGAAATGGGCCAATTCTCCAATCTCGCTCCTTTGATTTAACTTATAGAAGAGGTACTTTACCTGTATACACCACTTATTTTTTAAATATTTTCATCAATGGAATTAATGAGGCTGTCCTGCAAAAGAAGCTTTTAATTCTCCCTTATAATGACTCCCAGTGGTGCAGGTGAGTAAACTATACTGTTTTTTCACAGCCAACAAATGCTTCAAAGTATCTTACAAATTAGATTAAAATATTAAAATTGGTGCTGAAGCATTTATCTAGCATTTTTGAGGCCCTGCATTCTATGCTTAGCACTGCAAAAGAAATACAAAATCAAAACAAATAACCAAACCATGTGCTTCCCTATCAGTAGGTTTTTAAAAATGAGATTATAAAGTTAATCAGGAACAAAACGCCCAAATGGTCAAGGTGACATAATAATTCAAAGGCCTCTGAAGTAGGACTTGGTTTGTTTTCTTTTCCTTTCTTGCTAAAGCTTCCTGTGCCCTCATCTTCCTCATGGGATTGAATTCCTGCACGCCTTCTGATGCCATAATTTCTTCAGTTTAGAGTGGGGTGCATCCATGTACCTACAAATGCCTCAAGCAGCTGCCCTCTACTAGATTTAAGAAATTATGGCAACATAATAAAAATAGAGTTTTTGCAAATAGTAATGGAAATGAGCCGGAGGGAGCAGAGAAGGATGGGAGGGGAAGGGGACAAAAAAAAGAATTAACATGCGTTATGTACATGTGCAAACTCCCTATGATAAAGGCGATCATTATGCATGGCAAACATGTACTAATAAATTTAAAATTAATTAAAAATTAGAGTAGTGATCCTTTCCCTGCTGCAGAGTGCCACATACCTTGCTGACTCTGAAAGGGCATTCCTTTGTTTCTGACTCAGGAAATTTCTTCATCCACTTCCCAACAAAGTAGGCAGCATTAACCACAAGGATTTTGGTCTGATCACTCACACTGTTGTCAGATAAAATGTTCTCAAAGTGGCCTGCAAACAGTTTCAGAGTTATTCTTCCAAACTGCATTTGCTATATGCATGCATGTTCATTCACTGGGCATTAGCCACTCAGAGTAACAGCATATATGGTCCAGTACCACACACCATACGATTTCAGGACTTTCTCTCCTTCTTCCTGACCACATCAGACTTACTAAAGAGACCTAAGATTGGAAGTCAGGTCTTTCTGACTCAAAGCCTGTGACAAGAAGCAAAAATACATGGTCTGTGGCTTTACATAAACCTAGCTCTGTGCTAAGCATTTTTACCTACACTTTCTCATTTCTTTCACAGTGGTCCTATAAGGCAAAGATTATCCCCATTTTATAGCTGAGAAAACTAGAGCTCAGAGCAATCAATGAGCTGTCATAGTTCACGCAGGTGGAAAGTATGTCCAGTACCAAGTTAATACTTCCCTTTACCTGAAGGCCCCCCACTCCTGCCTGCTCCTTGCCGGTAGGCCATTTGCCTCAAGGTCAACTGCAATCACCACAAGTTAGAATTCAACAGCGCTAATCCCGTAATAAAAAGATTTTCTTGTATTTGAATAACACCTGACATTTTTCAAAGACTTTTCATTTCCCTACTCTCTAATTTTCATATTAACCCTGAAGGCCTATCTGATAGACCTGCACTTGGTTTAATGTTCTACTGTCACCATCTTTAAATTTTTTTAAGTGCCTGCATTTTTATTTTTGTGCCAAGCACTGCAAATTGTGTAACTCATTCACCCAATGCTACATGTGTTAAATATGAAACAGAATCATTGAAGAAACTGAAGAAAAAAGAAGTATGAGTACCAGTAACTTAAATTCTGAGCTTCTATTTCCAATTCAAAAGTCTTTCCACTGACTTACAGTCTCTAGCCCAAAACCTTATATGTATTGAAATTTAAAAAAAAAAAAAACTTTGGGCCAGGGATTTAGCTCAGTGGTGCTGTGCCTGCTTCATAAGTACAAGGTCCTGGGTTCAATTCCTGGTTAAAAAAAAAAAAAAAATAAAAACTTTTGAGGGAAAATATAATTACTTAGAAATTCTAAAAGCTAAACTCTAACAGCAATGTAAAGAGGAGCTGCTCTGTGCTTTTAATTTTTTAAATTGTGCACATCCTGGTATTATATACATTAAAGTTTCATTTTCAAAGATAGACCCAAAGAAGCTTTATTCCAATAATATAGGCATTGATTTGTATGTATGTATTCATGTTTGTACCTGCAAATATATCTGTAGCTGCCATTTGTTGGTATATAGTATTTAATTTCACCCTCACAACCTGGATAAAATTATGTAGCGCATGCCCCATTTTACAACTTGATAAATTGAGGTTCCATCTCCAATTATCATTGTTCACAAGTGACAATGCCTGGATTTGAACTTAGCTCCTGAACAACACCAAAGTTCCTGTTCATTCTATATGTGGACTTTATCTCTCATGAGTCAAGGTCACTATGAGCTCTGCTCATTCTCACGGGAAGGTCTCCCTTACTCCAGAAATATATCCCTCCATAGCCAGCAGCAACTACCATATGCTTCAGTTCTTCACATTTGTCTACTATTTCCTAAGCAAGTACCTAGATGTATAATTATCATAAACATATCCCCCAGAAAAGGAGACTGACGAGAGTCCAAATCAACTTAGTTCCAATTCCTTTCAATCAAGGCAGATGACTCACAGGGAATTTCAATGGAAGGAGAAGATAGCAGGGCAGGGAGAGGCCCAGAGCAGCGCTTAGCAGGCTGCTGGAATGTGTAGATATCAAGAGACCTCCAGACTCTCAGAGAGCAAACTGGCATGAGAAATTGGGAGACCAAAGATGAGCTTCTGCTACTGTTTTATTTTATTTTGTTTTTCTACCTGTTTATTTGCCTAAAACTATTTTCCTTTTTTCTTTAATAAATCTGTAGACTTTCTGAGCTGGAAGGAGCCTCAAGTATCATCAATTTATATCAATTCTTCTATTTTCAGAGTTAAAAATGGCCTCATAATTTGCCAAAAGTCATGCTTTTTGAGGCCCCAGCTGGGGCTCTTCCAGGGCCTGTGGCAGCTCCAGGGAGAGCAAGGCAAAGTAAACTGAAACTGAAGCACCAACAACTTCTGCCAAGTGATGAGACCGTACAAGAAATGCCCAGAAATTCAAGTTGTTGACATGAATTGATGGGAAAGAATTTAGCTTGTGTCCTAAAAATACTGCCCAATGAATCCTCCAGATGTTCAGTTTTCTATTACTTGGAGTGAGGATTTATGAGAAGGGAGGTTCTGTTTACTTGGCCATTTATAGCAAAACAAGTAAAAGATACTTGCCATCTGTGAGATCCTTAATGGAGTTGTTGATCTGAACTTTCGTCTCATCCAGTTTATCTTTGAAATCAACAGTTTCCAACTCTTTTGCATATGGTCTCTTTGTAGAGCTGAGGAATTCCTGAAAATTATATAGTTCATAAAGTTACAGAGTACTTAAGGGCTATAATCAAGCTATTATACTGTTACACTGTTCTTACAAAAGAATTTTTAAAAATCTATTGCTATGGATACACTTTAAGAATTAGTAACACGATATGAACTGAAAACTCCTGTACAAATGAGAGAATTTTCTTTGCACTCAGTATGTTATGTCTTCAATTATAAGACATTGTCAACTCTTAGATGCATCCATCAATTTAGTATTAACTTTCAGGAAAATAAAAGAAATACTCTGTTAAATGAACACAACTACTTTGTAAATAGGGAAGGGTGAGGGGGATGAAGGGAGGGCAGGGGTATGGGGAAAAACAAGAACCAAGATATATCATATAAAGGTACAAGATCCCAGTGATGAATGTAACTGTACTGTTTGCTTTAAATGTACCAATAAACTTAATGGAAATATATATATACATATATATATAGATATATATCTATATATCTATATATATATGTATATATGCATACAACTATAAGAGGAATTCCAATTTCAGAAATAGATAGATACAGGGAGACAGATAAAGATAAAGAGAAATGCACTTAAAGAACCATCTGCAGAAATATTTTATCCTTACTGAAATAAATATTCTATAAATCCTTGAAACTCAAGGTACAGTCCAAGAATCAGATGCCATTGTGTCCCTTGGTACCTTGTAAGAAATGAAGATTTTTAGGCCTCACCCCAGACCTACTGAATCACACCGCATTTTAATAAGATTCCTAGGTGTTTTATCCACACATTAAAGTTTGAAACAGTATCATAGGAAGTTTACAAAATCCTAAATCCCATCTGCATTGATCTCGGTTCAGAAGATCTGAGGGATTAAAATGAAATACATACATATAGCAACTCCCCAGGATAAATGTATTCATTATGTATCTCAAACAAGTACTAAGAAAGGGAAGACAAAGGGAAGGCAGAATGAAAGAAAGAAGGGAGGGAGAGAGGGAGCGAGAGAGGAAGACGACTTCTAGAACTCTCCAGAAACTGGTAAAACCTACGGGATTAAAACCAGGGGGAATATATTAAGGGGGATAATTGCAATGTGTCTTACTGTAATGATTTTTTTAATTAAAAAGAGAGAGAAGTGAGGCCTGGAATTCACGCTTTTAGAAACATCAGATAGTTCTGATGTAGATGGCCCTTCTCGGACAACACTTATTTTGTAGTATTACCCAATAAATTTTCAGGTGCTAAGTACCAACAGAAGAGATGGAAATCGGTCAAAAAGAAAGAAAGAAAAGGAAAAGAACTGTAAACTCCTAGTGTGAATGAAGTAATTCCAAATGTTGAATTGGAAGTTCAACCATACTAACTACACATAAATGTAATGTCATGTCACTTGCTTATAGGCACAGGGTGCCTTGAATTTCTCCACAGTATCTACAGCCCTAACCAATTAAGTTAGCTTCACTTAATTGCAACCCAACCGTGGAAATGACTGTTGTCATTCACTGAGAGAGTTGGTGCCGCCTAAGAATATGAGAAAGCCTCAGCAAGATGAGGACCTCCGTTGTCCTCACTGCAGTAAAACGTGGTAAGCATCTCCTTAAGGTTCACCTAGGGAGCAGTCAAAATTTTTCCCTACCCAGGATCAACCCACATTTCAATTTTGTTTAATTTCCCAGGTGATTATTGAAACAAAAGTGGTTGTATTTATGTGTCTTCCAGCCACAAGAATACAATGACAATATCTAGTGACTCATGTCCTCAGAAGTTGGCAACCACAAGAACCAATACCTACTACAGAAAGTTGTAAGGTAATGATAAAATATTTAGATAGTAGACTAGCTTTTAAATTTAGTAAGTTTGAATCTACGACTATCCATAGGAACTAAATCCGTTGTGTATTACTGAAGTAGAGTGGGAACCTCTCTGTAATCTAAAATTTTGACTATGTATTTCAAGAAGAGCTTAAAAATATTATAATATACCTTGAGATCCAAGGTAAGAGGATGACAATGTTCTTTATATGATTGTTTCAAGAAATGGCTGAGCCATAAGAACTGGAGCTACTTTGTACAGACACTATCTGGCCATCCTAGTGAAACAAGCAAAACTGTTACTGATGCAAATTGCTAATTCATATTCTTTTTCTTATTGACTTTGAGAAGCATTAGGAACATACTGTGCACATAAGTAAATGAGATGGAGGATTTAAAGCACGGTCAGACCATATGCCTTGCTGTCTAAGGAGAAAGTTTAAAACCTGAGTTGTCTTACATGTCCTGTCTATAGAGACACATTTATTAGACAGTTAATTACTCTATTCCCCATGCTCTCCACAGGGAAGAGGAAGAGTGACATTCATGCGTGTTTGAGAAGGAAAAGGGGAAGCCCACCAGGTTCTCTATGTTTTACATTAGAAGAGGTGTCTGCTCTCAAGTCCCACTACATTCACCTTCTTTGCTAAGCTGAGCTTATTTTAAGAAATCTCAGATCATAAATGAACATTCTAGAAATGAATTTCACTGGAAAAGAAGGGGGGGGTCAGTCTAACAATGTGAAATGCCACTCGGTAAAAAGTTAAATCTTGATAATAGCTTTAAAAAAAAATCTTACTGTAGAAGGGTTCAGAGATTTGTCTACGTAGAGCCGCTTGATTAGTTTCAAAGAGTAAAAGGAACTAAGTTTATTTACATCCGAGGTAACTGTTTGAAATCCAAAGGGCACATCTTTGACATTTTCAAAATGAAGGACCTGTCAAGAGAAAAAGTCCATTACCAAGAAGCATTACCTATTCCTCCTAGACAATCCATCTCCTTGGGGCACATAGTATCTCCCTGCTTAGGTGTTCCATAAAGCAAGACTTCTGAGCCCCTGCACCATGGACATTTCAGGCTGAACAATTCCTATTAGGGCTGTCTTGGATATTGCAGGTTTCTTAGCAGCATCCCTTGCCCTAGATGCCAGTAGCCTTCTACCCTCATTCATGACCATCAAAAAGTCTCCAGACATTGCCAAATGTCCCCAGGATGGGAGGGGGAGGACAAAGTTGTCCCTTGTTGAAAAACACTACCATAAAGGTCTCTTCCTGGTTGGAAGTGTTGCCCTTTCTTCAGAATGATGCTTCTGAGGTTAATGCAGAAAGAATCTGAACAGGGGAAAATGAAGCTGGATTCTACCTTCTATTGAATCTAGAGACCAGAAAAGAGAAATTAACATGAGAGAGATTATCACTAGACTGGTATCAGATTCCAGGACAGAGGTACCTCTAGGCAGAGTCTGGTCTCCTTGTATTCTTCACCAAGTGCCAAATGAACTGATGTACCACTTCTAACAAGAAACTATAAGTGATGGGCCCTGGGTGGGCTGAGTCAGATGGCCTTGCCTTTTACACCTGCTAGAAATGAAATCTTCTCCAACTCTCCAGAGCCTCACATGTCCTTCTGTAAAATGGACTGAGAATACCTAACATTTGAGTTGTTCTGAGAATGAAGTATACTTAAAACACCTAAATTATCATATGGATTCAAAGCTATGCTATGGACTATGCTTATTACTCTTCTAGTAATATTCTAAGCCAACTAAAATTAGGATGCTGTCATTTGGAGGCTTTTACTCCTTTACTTTTGTTCCAACCAGCACTCCAGCACTTCCTCTCCTTTGTGGCACTGCAAACTGTGAAGTCAGCATGAAATGACACCGTCCTCACATAGCTCACAATGGCCATGCCCCAGGTCACAGCACCAAACCAGCACATTGTATCAGTGAGTCACACAGCCTTAGCTCTGCAGGGTCAAACTGGCTCTTCTAAGCCAAGGAATGACGACTCTCACCCCTAATGATGGGTAAACAAGACCAGAAAATTAAAGAGCTCAGGTAACTACTACTAGGAAGTCAATTGCGTGTACTGAGATTTTTCTTTATTACGGTGAGGAAGAGATTCACTACCAGAAACTGTTTGGTTTGGTTTGGGTCTCTCCCTTTGTTTCTTTTCTCTCTTTCTTTCTTTCTTTCTTTCTTTCTTTCTTTCTTTCTTTCTTTGCTTTTCTCTTCTTTTCCTTTTTTTTTACATACTGGAAATTGAATCCAGAACCTCTCACACTTGCTAGGCAAGCACTCTGCCTCTGAGCCACATCCCCAGGACTTTTTATGCTTTTGTTTTGAGATGAGATTTTGCTAAATTGTCCAGACTGGGCAACTCCTGTGTGATCCTCCTGCCTCAGCCTCCTGACTAGCTGGAATTACAGACATGTACCACCATACCCTGCAAAGAAGCTCTCTTTTTGGTCCTTGAATTGGAGACTGGACTAAAGTTTCTTCTTCCCAGGACTGAGGTTTCTTTTTCAAGCCCCACTCAATTTCAAGTGTAAATTATTCATCCTGACCTAAATAACATTTTGGGGGCTGGGGATTTAGTTTAGCAGGCCTGCCTTGCAAGCGCAAGTACCCGAGTTCAATCCCCGGTACCAAAAAAAAAAAAAAAAAAAAAAAAAGAGAGAGAGAGAAAAAAAAAATAAATAACATTTTTTGGTCATAGCTTTTGGACATATATGCATACAAAAAGGTGTTCTCTTTTTAAATGCTTATGAGCGTATGGAAAGAACCTAGAGTAATCAATGTAATAGTGGCATGGAATTAGGAAGATGCTAAGTACATTGGGACTTAAAATGTGACAGTCAGGAAAATCATCCCATTTGCAAGTCTGAGAACTTTAAAAGCTAAACAACCATAGCCGAAAGGGAACTCTAAAACATCTACATATATGTATCTCTTGAATGTGTGTGTATGCCTGTGTGTAAAACATGTTATTACATGCTTCTCAGTGAGAATCCAAGCCCCCTGAAAATATTATAAAAATATAAAAGTAACATTCATCTTATTTATCTATAATACTAGAAGGTAGATAATTTAAATTGCAATTTCTCTATTAAAGTAAGTGTGGATTGCCGGGCATGGTGGCGCACGCCTGTAATCCCAGCACTCGGGAGGTTGAGGGAGGCGTGATTGCTGTCAGTTCGAGAACAGCCTGGGCTACATAGTGAGTTCCAGGTTAGTCTCAACTACATAGTGAGACCCTGTCTCAAAGAAACAACAACAACAAAAAAAGTAAGTGTGGATTTATTCTAGGGTAGAATGCAATTGACTTTGAATCCTAAAGCATGATAGTATAAATAAATTGTGTGTTAAGGTGAACTGTTTTGCTCCATGTCTGAACATGGAGTAGAGAAGAGGAGGCCTACATTCACACTCTGCTCAGGGTATTTATAGTAGAATATTTAATAAAAACCATCTCCATTGATCTTTATATTATAACAGATGAGCAGTGTCAGGTGACTTGCTGAAGGCCATTGGTGAATGGAACACCTATGATTGCCTACCAGAGCCCCAGATTCTACATCACAACCTGCACCTATCCTGAACATGGGATGCAGGACACATCAATGAGCTTTCGCATTGAAAAATAGATTAAGAGAGCTGGGCCCCTTGGTTTGCACCTATAATCTTAGCTACTCAGGAGGCTGAGGCCACTGGATCCCAAATTCAGGGCAACTTAGTGAGAACCTGTCTCAAAAATAAAAATAAAGGTAGCTCAGTGGTACAATGATCCTGGGTTCAATTCTCAGTACTAAAAAACAAAATAGTTTAAGAGAGTCTTAGATATCGCACAATTCTTAGTCTTGAGCAATGCTGATCGCAGTCTCCATTTACTTTCCAGGCCCTTCCTATGGATCCTAATAACTGTATACCCACTTAAAACAAGACATAAGGGGCTTACCTGTCCAATTTCATTTGCTGTGTCACCTTTGGCACCTACTTGAGCAAGTGATAGCGAGGTGGAGAGACAGATTGGAGAGAAAAGGACATTGCCTGCTGGCTCCTTGTCACACAGTTGTTTGAACAGGTCAACAGCAAAAGCCGAATTTGCCAGCTGCAGAGCATCCATTGTGGTCCTGAAACCAAGGACAAAGGAAAGGTTATTTCTAAGACATACTTGCAGTGTTCTTAACTGCATTCTGCCAACACAGTAAAAATTCTATTTTAATGAAGTAATGATGAGTAGAAGACTAAAAGAAACCTTCCATAAATTCAAAAAGAAAGCTATTTGTAGGGAAACTTCTGGGCAAATGCCCTAAGTCATATGAGGTCTGTGTGCATGGAATTGCTCAGAATCTCCAAATTCAGCCCTGCTGAACCACAATGGCCTTGGTCTGAAGCCCACCCACCACACCTCTTTCTCCGCAAGTGATCAGAGCCGTTGACAGCCCTGAACAAAAGCAGTTGGATTTATTTATCACATATTGTTTTGATTAGAATTTTGGTTCAATCATACAAAGTTGTCATTTTTGTAGATCACACAGTAAAACTGCAGTCATTTTGTGTGATTCAATTGAATACTTGTTAAATGCTGTAAGTTAAATTATGTCCTCCAAGAAGACATACTGAACCCCTAATCTCTAGTCCCTGTGAATGCACTGTAAGATCTTTGAGACTGAAATTAGCTAACATGAGATCATATTGGAGTTAGGTAGACCTTAATCCAATGACTAATGTTCTTATCAGAACAGGAGGAAAGACAAAGAGGCAAACACACAAAGAAGGAAGATGATTTGTGTGCACACAGACATGGAGAGCAAGCAGGACACTGAATCTCTTCAGGCAAGACATACACCCTGGTATCAGAGAGAAGGCATCATTACTCAAGAGGCCTTCCTTAGCCAGAAACTACAGAAGTGTTAGGCTCAAAGCCATGAATACAATTACAACTTTCATCTTATACCTGGACAGAAATTCAAAATGTAAAGATATGAGGCTAAGGTAAAGGAGTGGGCCACTTATCTTCAAATATCTCTTTAGAATTCTCTTTTACAGGACATATGGCTTGTGTGTACACCAAATTTAAAATATTATATTGTAAAGTCTGAAAAAGGAAGTTTATTAACAAAACAATAATGATGATGATGATGTTTTGTTGACCCTCTTCATGTTCACATCATCCCACTGACTTTCTCCTTCTCTTTATGCCACTGATAAGTACAGGAAGTGCACACTGGAGAGTACGCCTGTTACAAATCTATCACAAGGTAAGCTAAGGTCCTGGTAGGCACTGGGCATTGTGCTGTCATTTAAGCCCACACAGCCTACTCCTTCTCCTCTTGGGGCAAGGTCTGCCCAAAAGATGACACCTTACCCCAGTGGAAGCTGACCAGCATTAGGTAATATTAAGACCAGCAGTGTCCTGAGACAAAAATGGCAGATGGGGAATATTTCAAGCAGAGCACTCGCCAATGGGGAAATTAAAAGAAACTTCACAAGAGGCTTGGGCAATGTGGGTAAGAGACTTTCAGAACAAGAAGCCTAGCTTCCTCCAGCAGCAAATTTGACAATGACAAAGCTGAGTTTATTCACATCTACAACTCAATATGAACATGAAGTAATGAGAAATTTCTTCACCAGAGAGCCTAAACTTATAACCCTTCAAATTTTTCAATGTTTCTACAACCTGAGGCTTAATCACACTGATAATATGAAAATACAAAAATTGTTCTTTAACAAACAAAAGTAGTTCTTCCTAGCATATATTTACTACCCCTTAAAAAGAGAAATCAGAGTAATTGTGTAAGTTGATACTAAATCACAATTTTTCTGATTTCCTTTGTGTAGAAAAAATGTTTAAAAGTATGGATTACACTGGTGACAGAGTTTGACTATAAATACCTAGAAATGAATCCAGGAAGTGAATAAAAGGGTGAGAGAATATTCATTTTACCATTTTGTTCAGCCAAAACATTATTCATTCATTCATTGTAACATTTTGAGATACATTTAGCCTATATGACTCCATGACTACAGGCTCATTTGGCTTTAATACAGCAAATTACACAATACATTAAGTCTGTATTGCAGTACAAAGCTTAGATGCAGATCCTTGTTGGAGGATGTAAATTTTTACCATTTGACATCCAGAGGCTTTGCCACCAGCCAAGCACACTTTCAGTGAGTCCCTTCTTTTGCATGGTATTCCTTGGGGCATGAGTCTAAACCCATCTGCCTTCTTGTCCATATGTTGATTGGCTCCTTTTTCAAAAAATTCTCCTTGGCAGTGGAGAAAGGCATGCAGCCCTAATATCTAAGATCTCAGCTACAGCAGCATTGTTTGATGCTGGACAAAGTATCAAGAAAAGTTTATATATGAGACAATGTAGTGGTGAGCAATCACCAATTATGAAATTAATCAATAATCATGAATCCAATCATCTGCTCCCTAATTAGTTTCAAGTGACCTAAAAACACTATAAAATTGATCTGATCTGAAATAGCTGAAGATATGACTTTGGCCGCAGCCTTTGCCACTTTTCTGTGTTATAAGATGATTAAAACATTCAAACAAAATCTCAGGAATGCTAGTGATACTCACCTAGAAAAAAAGTGTAAAGTTCCTACAAAGACCGTTTGGATAACCAAATACTATAAAAAGTGTAAAAAAAAAGGTAAAAAAGTAGAGATTAACAATTACTATACAATGCATTTATATGTACAGTGGTTTGTGTTAAAAGTGTAAAATCACTACAATAGTTTTGAAATATTCTTACAGAGAAGGCTTCTTTTATTTTCATGAAAATTGTATAACAATTTTAACAGATAATTCTGTTCATAGGTCTAACAGAAAACACTAAACCTTTCAAAGTCACTTCAATGCTTAGAAGACATTTTTATTTTAACCAGAGAAAAGTGAAGCAAAAATGGAAGTAGTGATACAAATGCAGTTTTAACAATTTTCACTAAAGTAGCTTGCTTTTTGCAATTTTTTCCAAAGGTATTCTAAAATCATAAACCTCTAAAGTAGAATAAGATCTTATAGTGGGATCTAGCCTTGGCCCCACCTTTTCATTTTGCAAATGAGGAAAGTGAGGTGGACAAAGATAAAGTGATTCTCCCAGGCCACCCACGCAGGGAGTGAGTGGCAAAACCAGATATGGAATTCATTAGCCCCTAGCCTGGTTACTTCCCACCACACCTACCACTGTCTTCCCTGGCAATTGTGTCTTTGCTGGCATTTGTTCCCTCCAAAGTCTCTCAAGTTCCAGAAATACTAGGTCCTAAATTACCCCCTTTAAAGATATCAAAATATGCCAGGATGGTGGCACACACCTGTGATCCTATCTGCTTGGGAGGCTGATGCAAGAAGATCACAAGTTCAAGCCAAACTTGGCAGACCCTGTCTCTAAATAAAATTGATAATGGGAAGACGGTTCAGCTTGGTTAGACAGCACCCCAAGTTCAATCACCAGTACAACAACAAAAGATATAAAAATATCCCAAGTGGCTGTGTGTGTTTGTGTTTGTTTTTGCTTTCAGCAACACAAGCTTTTTCCTTATGAGTTTCCTACTTAAGGAGATCTGTTTTTTTTTTTCTGTCATTTAAATCGCAAGTTCTTAATATTCTAATGCTTTCATTTAATAAATACTGAGTACTATGAAGTGCCAGACAGTAAGTTAGGCATTAAGAAATCAAAGATGAACACAGCATGGCTCCTGCCACCACCAGGCCATCAACTAGTGGCATGATAAGTGCGATGAGTGTTTTGACAGCATGCACAAGTTACCATGGGATCCCTTAGGAACACCCAAGCCATACTCGAAATGCTCATGACATCTCAGAGATCATGACATCTAAATAAGCCACACTAAGGACCTAGGGCCAAGCTCTGAAAGATTAGGACTTAGACATGCAAAATGTAGGCCAGAGAGAAATGACACAATTTAGAGACTGCAGTTGGCCCCAAATAAATGGAGACCCATGTACTAGGCTGGGGGAAGGGTGCTCACTTCTCTGGACTTAAAGCGTGTCACTGTTCCCTCTATAAAGATTTTTCTAAGTTTGAAATGTATCTGAGCCAATGGTCCTCAAATCTCTTGTTTTCAAATCATTTTGATGAGACGAAGGCCCTGTGGAAAGAACAATCACATGTCCTCCTTTGCCTGGGACTGTCCTGGTTTAAGTCCATTGTACTGACTGACATAAGGGATAATGCCCCTCTGACTTTCAAGCATGTTCTTACTCCAGCACTACATGTTCACCCCACACACACAGTCCATCTACCACACCCTCCTGTACACAGGCGCGCGCGTGTGTGTGTGTGTGTGTGTGTCTGTGTGTGTGAATACATTATGGGCATATTTTGCCTGGGACTGTCCTGGTTTAAGTCCATTGTACTGACTGACATAAGGGATAATGCCCCTCTGACTTTCAAGCATGTTCTTACTCCAGCACTACATGTTCACCCCACACACACAGTCCATCTACCACACCCTCCTGTACACAGGCGCGCGCGTGTGTGTGTGTGTGTGTGTGTCTGTGTGTGTGAATACATGTTATGGGCATAGTAATTTTCACTGTGTCTGGGCATTGTGGATATCCTTTAGCCCAGCCTGTCTTGTTTTACAGAGGGAGGCACATGCTGAAAAGCTGTTCTTAGGAGTTTAGTGTAAAAAAGTCTTTAAATGCTACACTGAGAAGCTTTGCCACTCACACATATGATGGAATACTTAAAAACACAACCCCTATGGCTCACATTCCAGTTCTAGAAGGAGAAAAATCAGAGCCAGATTAAGAAACTATGCCACTTTTGTAGCTTCCACAAAGTGAAAGAGTATCATGATGATTAAATGAAGTGATTGAGTAAATGTATGCAAAAAAGAGCTCTATTCTCAAAAGAGTCCAATGCAGACATTAGTAATAAGGTTAATTGCTTTAATTTCTGATGGTGTAGGAGTTTCTGCTTTGCTCGCATACTCTGAAACATCACAGCTGCTCCTGTTTCTTCAGAAGCCTGGCCTTGACCCCTTGACTGCTGCTACCTAACAGCAAAGGCGTACCAGACAAAACCACACCAGAAGAGCCCAGATTGCTGAGACTGCACGCTCCAAAGACCGTCTGCAGCTCAGAGGGATGGAAGTGGCACCATTCAAGGATTAGGAATCAAAAATATAAAGCTGGTGACTCATTTTCTATGGAGAGTTTTAACCTCAGAGAAGCTCCTAGTTCTCCACCCATCCAAGAATCCATCAAACACTTGCACTTACAGATGGCGACTGACCCACAGAGCCCACCTAATTGTATTGCAAACCTCTTGAGAGATACAGAAGATGAAAACCATACTAAGAAAATCCATAGTGTCACGGAAACATCCCAGAGCTGTGCGTTTCAAGGCCCAATTCTGTCTCAGTGATGCCACTTTCAAGCGGTGACTCTGGATACTACTTCACTTCTGTGAGCCCCATCTATGAAATGAGAGGGCTCAGCAAAAATATGTGAAGGTCCCTCATTTTTGAGCATTCTACTACAAGTCTATGGGGCAGCCTGGCCTGTTAAATGGCTTCGTAGTGTGATGGGGCTTAAAGGAAGCTATTTTTTTAAATGTAGAGCTCATGAGGAAGAAACTACCACGAGCCAGATCAGTTTAAAAGTCCAAGAATCCACATTTGAAATATGCAAATTGTTTAAAATACGCTGAAACCCAGAAAGAGGGAGGGAGAATATTTTCTATCTAGAAGAAAGCAGTTGCCGGTAGATGAACACTGATCTTAAACACTGATGCTTGAAAATACGCAAAAGCAGAACAGTCCACAAGTCTCATTTTCAACCCCACAGTACCCACAAGAAAGAGGAGTCCGAACACACAACTACTCAATTTTCTCCAGGGCGGGGTACCACACCCTTTCTGAGACTGCAAATTCATCCCGAATTCAAGGTAGGGCTGAAAATGTCCTCAGTGAATCACTGCTGAGGCCGGATCACCACCAATACCTTCTCGCCATGGTGTCATTTTTTCATATCCTTACCTTGTGTAGTTGAGAGATTTTACTTCCTACGTGGCATCCCTGAGCCCCAAAGGACAGAGAGTTGGAACTGCAGCCCAAGTGGGGAATGAGAGGCAGCAGCAGTGCTATAGGTTACCCATTTTGTCCACGGCCTTCACCTCCAGAGCCAGCTTCAAGGAGCCTAAAAAGAGAAAACATCAGCCCCAAGACTTCATTTTGCTTACCTGGAGTTACGGAGATTCTGGAAAACGCCTCAAGAAAGAAGGCAAGCAAGGAGTTCGGAGACCAGGGGGTGCAATCAATGCTCTGAGGGGCGCGAGCGAAGCTGGTTCACCTGAGCCGCGCCCGCCACTCCCGCTGTGACCAAGCCCACGCTGCTCCCGCCCTGGGCCACGCCCACCCTCCACTCCGCTCCTACAGAGGCCTCTTGGCAGCCTGTCTGAGATTGAAAGAAATGACTCACGCTGAAGTTGCTGCTGTCTGCACAGCTTCTAAAGGTCTCCGACGTGCTCAGGCAGGAAGGGCCTGTTGGTGGATCCTGCCCCGAGCTGAATACCTGCATGCATAAGTAAATAAAGGCAATCCTACTAGAGAACACAGGACCGGAAGGTGACACAGACGAAATAAAAGGAATATGTGGTGATAGTAACACTGAAAATTTCTCAAGCATGTTAGCGGCACAAAACTACTCTAATATTCATCCTTTCCAAGTCGATTGCAGTAGCTCGTTCTGATGCCATGTATAACACCACTGACAAATTATTTAATACTAAACTGATGATAGAAATGTTTTGATGAGTAGCACAGGAAGCTCCCACTTGATTACACAGATTTTCTCTGAAATCTCTATGTGGAGCCTGCTCTTGACATAGTCCAGGTTTCCTGTCTTCCTACACCTCCTTCATTCCCAGGACCTACTCTTTTCCTGTATTGAAGCTATTTTCAGGAAAGTACCTGAAACCGCATCCCAGCCAGTTGCTTCTCGCTGTGCTCATCCATATTCCCTATTGTCAGTGTACTACATGGTTTCATCATAACCTAATTATTTTACAGTCATTGCCACGTGATTAAGAATTTTAAAGGTAAGAGCCAAGCTCATTTATCTGCATAACACCAATATTTATCATGGACTTCATATACAATATGCAGTCAGTGAAAGAGAGTAACTCAACACACTACACAAGATTGACGGACAGCTCCCCTCTGTCATTTCCTGAGTGTTTTATTACCAAAATCAAAGTCATAAACTTCAGAGTTGAACTCTGAAGGTAGCATTTCAAGTATCTGTGGAGCTACTGAATGCAAAGTTAAAGAAGGTCTGTATGACCAAGATACTTCTGAAAATTACATCATCTAGCTGCAGTAGGAGTAACGTGGGTTTGGGAGAAGAGTCATAAATTTCAGGAGAAATCCTAATTTAAGTACTTACTCTCTCTAGCCTCAGATTATTTATCTGTAAAATTGTATATATGTGTGCATATATGAAGGGACAACACATACAAAGTGCCTGGCACATGACATGTGCTCCTAATGATGGAAGTTATTACCATTTTACCTACTTCTCAAATAGTCCGAGGAAATAATCACACTGGCCAAAATATTGGAGCCCAATACTGACATCTGATTCACCACAATTATCTATGAAACACCTTCTGCATTTTTGCTATCACCAAAGATCTTAAGGGATTTGCACTTAAATCATGGAGATTTTGATGATTTAATCCCCTCTTGCAACATTCTTGTTCAGTACTTGTCCATCCTAGGCAGAAACATTTCTAATGACAGAAATTCAACAACACACGAGAAAACCCAAACAAATCTTTGGGTAATTCTGACTATTTGAAAGTTAGAAGTACTACTCAGGAATATGAGACAAATCCCCTCTGCCCAAAAATCTTATAAATAGTACAGAAAGAAAATAAGAAATAAAACAAAGTACTTGGTAGCATAAAATAAGAGACATAGTCCAGTGCATAGCACAAAAAGACAAATGTTCAGAGACAAGCATAACCTTTCAGCCTTGGAGTGGACAGGGACGCATCATGGATGCAGGGTCTTTGGAAATTAGACTATTCAGGCCTAAGAAGGAAGCATGAGCACAAGCACATAGGTAGAATGGCATAAGGTACATTAGACAGCTATGTTAATAAAAAGTTAAATAGAGCACTCTGTGTAATAGCATTGAGTCGTTACTCAAGAGTCTCTGAAAGTAAGACTGTGTGCCAGTGTTTTCACCATTTAGTGGAACCTGTTAAAGCAAGGACTCTCAAGTCTCAATGTAACATCATTGACAAGGCAAACAATTGGGGCAAATGAGTGCTCCCCTTTCAGCAGTACGGTATTAAAATAGCACTTCTATTTACCTAATAAAAACTGTTTCCCAGTAATATTTGTCTCCATAATGGCTGTACATTTAAATCCTGCTAAATCCCTCCCTAAAGGGAAAAAATAAAATAGTAGGAGAGAATAGAGTGGTACACGTGGTTCACATTTCTAGTCATTTCAGACTAGTTCCTGGAAAATATAACAACTGAGTATTTTTAGAAGAGAAGGGCCTCAAGAATTTCTTCTGCTTTCAACATGTGAGTTCTGAATCTGCCTTCCCCATTCAGTTGCACACTCTGGTGTCTGTGGTTGATTAAATAAGCACCTGTTGTGTATCAGACCCTGGGCAAGACCCTAGAGCAGACACCAAGAAGAAGACCTACCTTTGGGACTTAAGGAGACTACAGTATAGTTTTAAATTTCCATGAGCCTGGATCTACTGCCATTATTTATCATAATGTCCACTTTTGGTGATCAATCTGCATAAATTCATTGGATCCTTAAGGGTTTTTTTTTCTCTTTTGCCAATGAATGTCATCTTACGGTTCAGTGTAGTTGTCATATTCAGTCATAAAGCTTATCATTTTTATATTTTTGATATTTTTGAAATGTGTTAGTTTTTTTATATAATAATGTGAGCCAGAGAATGTATTATTGTGGCAAATCTATTATTGTTTGGAAAAATAATAATAATAAAATGGAATATCTTTTTCATGCCTTTGTTTTAAAAATAAGAATGCTAATTATTTTCTAAACATTTTATTAAGTTATAATTTTCTAACATGTGGGTAAGTCCCCAAAAATTCTTTCAACTTTTTCTTGCTTTACAGGACAAGACCAAACAAACAAGAACAAACACATGAAGCCATATTCCATGATGCCACAGGAAGCTGTGAGTTAAACCAAAAATAAATACTTTAGGTCACTTGTTTAAAAAATTATCTATTATGGGTATAAAAGTGCACAACCTGAAGGGAATGTCTAGAAAGAAGAATGTTGGCAGTTATGAAGCATGAGATCTAGAAGAAAAAGCACTCATAAAAGCTGCAATATCAAAGTAATTTCATTAGTACTATCAAGGGTAATCTTTAATTTCTTGCCATGTGGTCTCATGAAAAGACCAACTCTAGAACATTTCTGATCTTCCTTTCTCTTGATGAAACTGGAACCGCCAGGATTCAGATACAAACATCATATTTAACAGTTTTCTACATAACACACCACACAATTCACTTCCTATTTTTACAGTTAATTCCCTCCTCCAGCTAAAATCTAAGCAGGGATTCTTTTCTGTTTTATTCACTGTTCCTAAGGACTTAGAGCAGTATGGGGCATCTAGTAGATACTTGGCAGTAGTAGGTGTACAATGAGTGGGAAATAATCTGAGGATGAGGCAAATGCACAGAATATTGCTGATTCGAATAATGATAGGTTTAGCCCATAAACTTGAAATCAATTTGGCATTCCTGTAAATACCAGCTACCTTCCTGTCCTTACAACTATTTAAGACTACTTGATCTGATTCATCCCAAATACTTTACAGCAGTAAAACAAATATTTATTTTTAAAAAATGCATGGGACCCAGGCATGGTGGTATGCAACTATAATCCCAACACTGAGGGAAGTTGACGTGGGAGAACCAAAAATTCCAAGCCAAGGGTGGGGATTTAGCTCAGTGGTGTTGTGTCTGCCTCACTGAGTTCAGTCTTCAGCACTGCAAAAATAAATAAATAAAAAAGTTCAAAGCCAATGTGGACAATTTAGGGAAACCCTGTCTCAAAATTTTAAAAAATGGCTTGGGAGTATGGCTTGGTAGTAAATCACTTGTCTAGCATTTGTGAGTCCCTGCATTCTATTCCTGTACATATAATATAATATTAATGATCCACCTGTCTTCAGAAAAATGTATTTGCTCTGTAATTTCAAAAATGCCATGGTGTTCTTTCCCCTTTAGTTCCACCAGAAATATTCTATTGATCACGTATGAAAAAGACTAGTTTTGTTTTGCTTTGAAGAGGAGAAATATAGTTTAAAGAATGAATGATCCTGTTATTCATTACACAGTTTTATCAAACAGTGCTTTCCTCTAGTTCAATAAAAGTAACAATTGGCTCAAATATTTAATAACCTAGGAGACTGTTTTCTTGGTGCTTTTTGCTGCCTATAGATTGAAACATTGCAAACATTATAACTTGATTATTCAGCAGTCGGGCTGAGGGATGAATTGACACACCCAGCCACTCCCAGAACAACTCAAAGGAGCTTTGTTATGACATGTACAGCCTCTCCCTCTCTCTCTCTCTCCCCCAAGAAGAGGCAGTTCACACACAAACTCATTAGATTCTCCCCAGATACCCATAAATCATCCAGTGTTTCCCCATTCACACACCTGTAAATATGATTACAATAATTTATTTGACATCTCCTTAAAACAGTGGGGAATAATGTTAGATTTGCACATTTCCAAAAATTCACAGAAAGTTCACTGTAAAATTTCCCACCAGGTCACTAAGTACTTTTCTCTTTTTCCTGTGTGGAGAAGTTCAGTCAAAAAAGATAAAGTGATTTTACCTTGAAGTTTCTGGCTAAGATAGAAGAAATTATTGCAAAACCTCAGATTTACAATCCACAAATTTATACTACTTATGGACTATGAGTTTTCCTTGTTCTATGACATGACAACTACTCCATTTTGAGAACCCAACAATTACATGCTTTTGTCTTATCAACTTCTAGTGTTTCTGTCTGAAAGAAATTATATGTTAAATGATAACCTGTTAGAGAAAACAGTTTATGTGAAATTGTCTGCCAAGACACATACTTTAAGGGAAAAAAACTAAGACAATGATGAAAAATAAAGTTAAAGAACAACCCCAGAGTAAACCACAGACAGTAAAATATTTTTAAAACTGGCACAGTTTTCCTTAAAATGCTTAATACTCTGGGGGATTTATCTCAGTGGTGCTGCAGCCCGCCTCGCAAGCACAAGGTCCTCAGTTCAATCCCCAGTACCAAAAAAGAAAAAAACAAATGCTTAATACTCTGTGCAAAGGTATATCTGAGCAGAAAATGAAAATTGAGTATCAAATCACTTAGGTTTGGTTGATGAGTGTAGAAAAGAGTGAGGTTTCAGGCAGTATGAAAAAGAGAATTTATCTTGGAGTTGATTCCCAGCCACACTGCCACTCAACAGGAATTAACCATCAGCAAGAAACAACTATTCTGACCTTAGAATCCTCTGTGCTAAAAATGAAGTGGGGTGTGATGGCACATGCCTGTAATCTCGGCCCTTGGGAGGCTGGGAGGTAGGATCGCCATGAGTTCGAGGCCAACCTGGGCTACATAGTGAGTTCAAGGGCATGCTGAACCTACATAGCAAGACCCTGTATCAAAAAAGGTTTTTTTTTAATTTAAAAATTAAATAAATTTAGGGACTGGGCATATAGCTCAGTGGTTCCACAGCCTGCCTCACAAGAACAAGGAGCCAAGTTTGATCCGCGGGATCAGAAAAAAAATTAAATAAATTTAAAATGAAATGGGTCTTAGATCATCCTTAAGTAACTTTTAAGATATAAAAGTCAATGAATAAGGACTAGGGATATAGCTCAGTGACACTATGCCTGCCTGGAGATCATAAGGCCGAGTTCAATCCCCGGTACCAAAAAGAAAAAAAAAAGGTCAACAAATGAAATCCTGCCTTTACCTTACCAAAAAGACCTTAGTTACCCTTAAAAAGAAATAATTTGAATGTAATATAAAAAGGAAATAAAACAAAATGAATCAATTAGTTCATTTATGACTGTTAATTCATTAGTAATAAAGCTATCTGGTTCAATTAATTACTTCAATTGTCCAAATATTTGTATGTATAAAAGATTTGAACATTTTCTTTTCATATATAATTCTCATAGCAAAAGGAATAAATATAAAAATAAAAATGCAAGCTTTTCAAAATTTCGTACAAATAAGAACTTCAATATAGCTGCTAGGAATGTAAGTTGATCAATTCTTCCAGGAAAACATCTAGCAGTACATTAATTATCTTTTTTAGTATTCATTCACTTTGACCAAATGACATAGCTTTTAGAAATCTTTCTTAATGAAATAATTATAGATGAGGTCAATGATTAAGGTACAAGAACGTCCATGATAATATTATTTACAAAAAAAAACTAGATAGCAACTGAATTTCTATCAATAAGAAAGTGACTAAATATATGTTTTCCAAGTAATACTCACAAGACTGGCTTGTACAAAAGTGGGTTACAAGATACATTCTGTAGCATACGTATATTTATATATATATATATATTTATATATATTCAAATTTAGTTAAATAAAAAATACATTTAGTAACTGCTGGAGAGTAGGATTTACGAGCTTTCAATTCTTGCTATGATGTGCGTTAGGGTTAGTTAATTTTATATTAGCAAACTATAGTTAGAAGACTTGACAAAAATACACAAAATAATTTTAATAACAATTACTTGTTACAAATAGCAAAATGGCAAACATAAATATGTCCTTGTCAGTAATTATGAAAAAATAATTATTTTTGGCTAGTGAAATTAGATGATTTTTTTTTCTTTCTATAGTTTGCTGTATCTCTCAGATTTTCTATAGTCACCATACATCACTTCTTAGTAGTAAAAAGTTACATTTTGTAAGAAGTAAAACTCTCAGGGCTTCCTTTTACCTGGAAGGCTTCTCCGCTGCCTGGCAGCAGCTGGTGTCACACCTAAGTCTCAAACTGCCCTTAACAGCCCCACCCCCAACCCAGGTGACCCAGCTGGGGAGGACCAAGGCCAGGTGCTGAGATAAGCAGAAGCCCGAGGAAAGCGAGGAAAGCGGACCAGTGGGAACAGGCCTGGCCCTCTGTCCTACTCCTCCCTCCTCTGGCTCCTCCTTCTCTGCCAATGTGCTGACAGCTTCCAGCCCTGATTTCTGCCTTGTTCCTTGTTCTTTGATGTAACTCAAGTATATGAGGAAGTAAGCCTTAGACTGAGGAAAGCCTGGAGATCACTCAGTCCAAATCCAGATTTCCAAATGGTGAGACACTGGCCCACAGTTCTTGGTGTGTTTTATAGTGATATTAATAAGACCTTTTATACATATCTTTCAGTAATGTCTTATGTAAGGTCTATCTATGTAACATTTTATACATGAAGATATACAGATGTACAAGTCTGCTGAGTAGCTTCTCCCAGGTCACAACACTAGTAAATAGTAGAAACGAGATGTAAATCCAGGCATCTTTTTTAACAAATACATTCTACTTTTCCTTCTTCTTTTTGGTACCAGGGATCAAACTCAGGACCTTGAGCTCACAAGGCAGGCATGGTGCCACTGAGCTAAATCCCCGGCCCAGCATGCAGAGTCTTAATCTGGGATTTCATGTACCCATTCCTATGTGGAATATACTTACTTCTATGTGATGACAGGACCAATTCAAGGAAAGAGAATGCAGGAGTGTAGAGAGCTCAGAAGTCTAAAGTCAATCGGCTTCACTGGGAAAGGGACAATATTTTTGTAAGATTTCTAATAAATCATTTAGAGAGTAGGGGAAATGTATCAATCATTATACCACATACAGAAGACTTCTAACTTGAGAATTCTAAGTCCTTGTTTCTTCCTCTTAAAGTGGAATTTAACAGTGATTCCTCCTACCCAGTGTGCTCAATTTTCCCCAAACCTAGGACGCCCTCATTGCGGCTCCAATATAGAAAACTAGGACCAGAAATATCGTCCATGAGCCGCTCCTTCTACCACCTTATTCACATCCACATATTATTCTCATTTAAATCTAGTCCCTAATCCTAAACCATGTGGAAGGGCAGGGTCCATGATTTATATGTACATCCCTACTTTCTCTCCTGATTTGCACAATTAACATTAAATAAACATGTCTATCTTAAATTCTTAAGATGACACAGGAGCAAATATCTAGTAGTAAATTTTCTGTAGCAGGAGTATAGTGCAGGAAGATACCTAGAAGAGGCCTAGCTGTGCAGAATGGAATTTCTAGCTAAAGATTTTTTTTTTTTTTTTTTGTACCAGTGATCGAACTTGGGTCCTTGAGCTTGCAAGGCAGGCCACCGAACCGCTGAGCTAAATCCCCAGCCCCTAGTTTTAGATTTTTGAGGAATCTTTATACTGATTTCAATCATGGTTGTACTAGTTTATATTCCTACTAACAATGTAAAGTGGTTCTTTTTACTCCACAGCTTCATCGGCATTTGTTATTATTTGATTTCTTGGTGATAGTCATTCTTCCTGAAGTAAGCTAGAATCTCAGGGTCATTTTAATTTGCATTTCTCTAACAACCAGAGATACTGAACATTTTTTCCTGTATTTATTGGCCAAGCTAAATCTTACAAGTGGCCTATACTTCCACCAACAAATGAATAAATAAAGATGAGGTGTTTAGATATAGTGTGGTACTACTCTGCCACAAACAAGAATGAACTTCGGTCATCTGTAGGAAAATGGGTGCCTCTGAGACCATTAGTGTTAAGTGAAATAAATCAGATTCATGGTGTTGTTTCTCTAATAAGAGAAACCCAAAATATAAATAAAGGGCAAAATAAATAGGAAATAGGGAGGTGAATCTTTTGCAAAAGGGAGAGGGGCCAAGAGGTAAAGGAAGAGGGGAAGAAGGGGATGTAGGGGCGAAAAAAAAGGAATTAGGATGTGTTATGTACATGTACCAACTCCATAAGGGGTACATAATCATTACATACTGCAAACATGTACTAATAAAAAAACTGAATAAGCCAGTATAGCGTAATGATTATTACGAAATAATGCCTTTAAAATGTTACTATTTTACTGTTTTGAAACATAAAGAATTCAAAATTATTTTAAGTTAAAAAACTGTTTAAATCCAAGTAGATCAAAATGCTAAAGTTAGCCGGGTGTGGTGGCGCATGCCTGTAATCACAGCACTTAGGAGGCTGAGCTGTGTGTTCGAGACCAGCCTGGGCTACATAGTGAGTTCCAGGTCAGTCTCAACTACATAGTGAGACCCTGTCTCAAAAAAAAAAAAAAAAAAAAAACGTTGAAATTGCCAGTTCTCCAACATCACTTTGTATCAGAAGCACTGAGGGGCAGGGAATGGAAAGGAAGTGCAATTGAATTACACATCCTAGACCCCACACACTGATTCCATAGGTCTAAGGTGAGGCCCAGAATCTGAATTCCTTCCAGTGGTGTGGAACTGGTTATTCACAGACCCTTCGCAGACTTGAGGTTCCTTCTGGCAGCATCTGCACTGAAACAGGCTCTCTTGTGCTTAGTGCTGATTCTGACATGTTATTGGCTGGTTCCCACCCCACCATCTACTGCAGGTCCTGGAACAAATCATTAAAACTTACTTTGCCTCAGTCCCCACATCTATAAAATTAGGGTGATATTAGCAACTCCTCATGGGGTTATAATGAATAAATGAGAGAATGTACGGACATGTAAAGTTCTTAGAATGTCACCCACCACCAGTAAATGTTTGATAAACAATGGCTATTGTGATTATACTCTCTAAAGCTGTAGTGAACTTATGAACCTCAGAAAGATTAGGTTTACTTCTATGGTGTGTATAGAGAGAAAATGGCAGATTGTTTTTAAGTTAGAAGAAAAACTGATGTCTATAAAGCTTCAGAAGAATGATTACACGCAAGCACACAAACACAAACACACAAATTTATGTGAAGTTTTTACCTTCAACCTTTGGGTCATGATGTGTTGCAAACAAGGAAAATGAGAATAAAAGTGAAATTTACTCAAAATAAGAGAGAAGGCTTAAAATTTCAGAAAGAGTATATATTTAATATTTCATTTCAAACTTATTAAATAATGAACAATTGTTTTAATCATTCTAACAGCATGTCATAATTATGATGTACTCCATTTAATGTATTATCTCTTCCCAATTTGATAGCAATCTGGTCAGTCATGTAACATGAGCCCCAGTTTACAAGTGAGAAAGTGATATTATAAATTTAAGTCATAGTTGGTAAGAGAAGGAGTCAGGCTCACTCAGAACTCAGACTATACAAATAACACATCACCATTAAAGGAGGAGACAGGCAAAACACTAAATCTGTCATCCTAATTGTAGCTCAGGAATGAAAGCAAATGCATGAGTAACAGCAAAAAAAAAAAAAAATCCTATGGCATTTAACTTCCCTTGGCATTTATTATCAGTTTTCTTTCAAAGGAGATTTTAAAGAGGAAACACAAAGACTCAACACAGGCCAAACCATCACACTGACTGTTGATTAATAGCAAACTCTGTCCACCTCAGGAAACCAGTGCCATTCATCTATGGGAAAGTCATCGCTGCTTTGTACAATGAATTCTTACACATGTCCCTCCTTAAGGAGCGATCATTCTTACACATGATTGCCATGGTTTGGATCTTGAATATTCCCCAAAGGCCCACGTATTAGAGACTCAGTCCCAGAGTAGCATATTGACAGGTAGTAGAAGCTTTAAGAATCAGGACCTGGGACGTGCCTTCAAAGGGGACAGTGGGACCAAAGTCTATACCTTTCTCTTTCTTTCACTTCCTGGCCATGAAGCATGTTGTTTTGGCCCATCACACACTCTCACCAAGATCTGCTACCTCACCGAAAATCTAAAAGTTATTGGGACAGTCTGTCATGGACTGGAATTCCAAAACTGTGAGCCAAAGTGAGTTGATTTTTGCAGGTATTTGTTACAGTGACAGAAACCTGACTCACACAGCACCTAACTGAATTTGATTGGTAGTATAACAAAGGTGATATATTTGTATGTATATATGTGTGTGTGTGTGTGTGTGTGTGTGTATTTTTTTTTTGTACTTGGGACCTTGCACTTCTGAGGCAGGTGACAGAACCACTGACCTAAGTCACTGGCTGTATGCTTATATTTTATCATTTAAATGTAAAATAATGTGTCCTTGATATTAGTTACTAACCTATTTTAGCCAAGTTGTTAATGTGGCAGGATTTAATGAGAAAACCTGTTGCTACCACTCATGATGTGACAGGAAAATAATTTCATCCAGAAAAGGAGGAGCCTAAGGAAAATGCAGCAAGTCTCCAAGTGGATTCAGGGAAGAGGCTGTGTAGGAGTGGCCTTTCTCCTCTCTGCCTGTCTGAAAGATTGCATGGATTCATTTAAATAGCCAGATAGCCATGACATCAAGGCTCGCTTCAAGTTAGGGAAGGAGGAAAATTAAGAAAGAATACACTTGTTTTAAAAAATCAATAATTTAGTTCAGAGGCAACGTGGCAGCCTTGTAAGCACAAGGTCCTGAGTTTCATTACAGTACCAAAAAAAAAAAAAATCAATAAATATGTTTATTGGCACATGCGTTGGCAGTTAAATAAGAGAAGAAGCATGGGATGTAAATTAAATGCAAGTTTTTTCATTCAGTAAGTCAAACACGTTGCCTTTGAGTCATAAAATAAAAATCTACAATGCATGGAAGGTATGATCCAAGGAGAAGATAAATTGCCAAGTCATCTTAAAGCTGTCCGGCTGAGTTTTAGGTTACAGGGTATTGCTAGGAAACTAATAAAAATATATCAGAAAGACGCTTCTACCCTTTGAAATACCTTATGATGAAGTATTTTAACCCTAAAAACTGCACATTGAACCATCCAAACACCAACCCAGATATGGAGGAGGCTGATTCTCTTGTTTGTTCCAGGCTCATAGTCATATGTGATTATTCCATGTGAAATGAATATGTTCAAAGTTTAGTATAAATATTATCTTTGCTTTAGCAAGTAAAAAGCATCATCCATTAAACAGTTCTAACTTACAAAATAAATTACTTTCACCTCCCAGCTGCTTGGCATGCAATAATTATAGAGTCTAAATAAAGTGAATTTTCTCATTTTGTTGTAGCGATATTCATAGTAACAAAATGTGACGTATCATTTGCTACCAGTCATCTGACAAATATTTTCTTATCATCTACCATATGTCAGGCACTACAATACCTAATATAATATCAATAATGGTTTTGTCACAACACACCACTGAGTGTCTGAACAGTGCACAATTCATGGTATTGAAATTGTCAGAGATCTCGAATTCTCTTTTTCTCTGCTCTCCCTGAACCGCCTTTCCTGAAGATGAAATTAAAAGTTGAGCCAGGCTCTGGTGTGAAAAACTAACAGTGTAAGTAAGATCCAAATTTTATAATTGACAATGTGAAATAGGAAGAAAAGGGCTAAAGATGTAGAGGAAGTGGGAAGGGTGGGGAAAAGGAAAGAAGGGAAAAGAAAAAATATGAGAGAAGGAAAAACTGGAAACAAAATCTTTGTAAATAGGGAGGGTGGAGGGGGTGAAGGGAGGGCAGGGGTATGGGGTCATGTAAAGGTACAAGATACCAATGATGAATGTAAGTGTACTGAATACCTAAAATATACCAATAAACTCAATGAAAAAAAAAATGAGCCAGGGCCAGGGGATTTAGCTCAGTGGTGCCAAACTTGCTTCATGAGTGCCAAGTCCTGAGTTCTATCCCTGGCAAGGTTAAAAAAAATGAACAAATAAAGTATACTATTAAAAAATTAAGCCATAAATAAATTTTAATCTCCTCTTTCATGGTGATGCCCTTGTAGCTTGGGGCAGGTTGCTCTCATACCTTCTTCAAGCCTCCATTTCCTTGCCCGTAAAATGAAGTTAATAACACCTACTTCTTTGGGCGGATGGGAGACATAATTAGATCTGAAATGCTTTGAAGATTAAAAGTCTCACATTGTTCTTGTGCTCATTTCTCTGGTACAAAATAATAAATTTCCCATTTGCATCAGCATGTTTCTCAAGAAAAGAAAAGAGAAGACATATATTAAAACAGTATGTGTGGTTAATTCTTGGCAAATGGGCAAGCTTCATCTGTATTTGCATTCTTCTATTGTGTAAAAAATATTTTCCTAACCAATCTATTGTTTTGAAAACTGATTCAAAGATAAAGAACTCAACCTTCTTATTTCCTATATAAATCTTACATAACTAAATAATTGATACATTTTCTCTTATATGAATAGTCCAGCTAATAAATACAGAATAGGAGATATGAATAGAATTCCTAATGAATTGACACAGCTTAAATTATGATTATAAATGGCTGACATCATCCCCAAAAGAAAAACAATCACGCATGGTGTATTTCTAAATGGAAGTCCACCATGTTACAGTTGAAGTAGTCTTAAACAAACCAAACCCAAATATAACCAAGCCTCTAGATCTAACTACAAATTTCAGGAAATATAAAAAACAGAGGAGAGCTTTAAATTTTAACACAGAGATTCAATAAACAACGTCCAGAGCATAGGAAAAAAAAAGAAAAATATACATATCCAAAGTGTAGAAAATTCATACAACCTGGCTTTTTTTTCTTTTTTTTAATTGAGTTTATTGGTATATTTTAGGTATACAGTACAGTTACATTCATTATTGGGATCTTGTACCTTTGCATGACAGGTCTTGATTCCCATTTTTTCCCCTTGTCCCTGCCCTCCCTTCACCCCTCCTCCCTCCCCGTTTATAAACACTTTATTTCCATTTTTTCATTTTCTCATACTTTTTTCTTTTCTCTTATTACCTTTCCCCTACCCTTCCCACTTTTCCCTACAACTTTAGCCCTTTTCTTCCTATTTCACATTGTCAATTATCTCATTAGGACCTTATGTACTATTATAGTTTTTCACACCAGGGAAACTGTTCAGTATTTACACATGTGTGACTTATTTATTTCACTTAGGAGTATATCCTCAATATGTATCCATTTTCCTATGAATGAATCTAATTTCTCATTCTTTATGGCTGAGTAGTATTCCATACAACCTGTTTTTAATCAATTAAACTTCAAGGGAAAAAACTATAAATTCAAGAAAATGTGTGGCATATATCAAATGACCACAATTATTTGCATCGTCCTTTGCACAAACTGTAAAAATTAATGAGAAAGCCAGGATGACCTGAACACTAATTGGATATTGATATTAAGAAACTAATATACTATCAGGAAGATAATTTCTGCCGGGCATGGTGGCACATACCTATAATCCCAGCATTTGGGAGCTGAGGCAGGAAGATCACTGTGAGTTCGAGACCAGCCCGGGATACATAGTGAGTTCCAGATCAGTCTCAACTACAAAGTGAGGCCCTATCTTAAAAAAAAAAAAAAAAAAAAAAAAAAAAAAAAAAAAAAAAAAAGATAATTTCTTAAAACCTTGCTCAAGTAGAGCTGTATTCTGGTATTTTTACAGACAAAAGGAAAGTTCATTATAGTATTTTCTCTACTTTTTCAAATGATTGAAATGTTCCATAATACATATTAGCATCTAAAGTGGAAACATTTAAAATTTAAAATAAATGGATACAGCTCTGAATATAAGAAGTAGGGGAGGCCTGCTAGATAAAATGTGTTACTTTTGAAGACATATTATTTTA